TTTCTCATATATTTCAAATAAGAATTTCCTCTTGCGTGAAATGCTGTCTGGGTCACTTTGACCTATGTCGTTTTTTTTAAGAATAAATGTAAAAATTGTGGCGAACCGTCATTTCATTTCTGTTCTAATTTTGTCTTCTCGCCGTTTCGCAATGACTGTTTTAATTCGTTCGTGCGAAGGGAATTTCAGCGTGGTTACTCGCGGAAATACTTCTGTTTCACTTGGTGTATAGTGCTTTTACAGTTAGTTACGTTCACTCGGGCTCTTAGGTGTGCTTTTAGTTTTCTTTAGGAAGATTTTGCGGTATTCTTCGACTTCCGTATTCTACGGGGAGTTCTGCCGTATCGTTCGGCGGTATAAAGATAAATCTTAACCTCGGGAAAAGTCACAAGAAAGCTAATTGACTTGAAAGATAATTTTTGCTCGTAAAACAAGTATTAATATTCGGACATGATAGTACGTGCAAAATTGTTTCACATTAATTACACCGATACTTTTATGTACCGCAATAAATGTTATAATGCGATTTACATTTTTCATTATTTTATCGCAAGATTGAAATCTATTACACATGTCTTTACATTCTTCTTCTAAAAGTTCTCTCTTAAATATCGTTTTAAGATATTTAAATATTTACTTTAGTCCGCCGATGATAAAAGCTAATTTCTGTTTCGATTAAACCTGAATAGCTCCGTGTTACTCGCAGAGACATTTCGGATTTGTTCGTCAGGCTACGACTAAAGAAGCGAAGAAATGGAGAACACGCGCGCGCTGATAAGCGAAGCGAAAGGAGATCGTCCTATAATAACGCTCTCCTTTATCCCATTCCAAAAAGAGAGCAAACCGATCGACAGCGACGGATCTCTCTTTCCATGGACGTGAGCGATATATTTCCACCCCATAATTTCATCCCTCCGTCCTTCGCGTACGTGCCTAGAAATTAAAGTAACGAGCGAGCCGCCGCCGCCGCCGCCGCCGCCGCCGCTGCTGCCACCGCCGAGTGCAAATTTCGCGTACGTCTGCCGGTAATGTTATTAGCGTGCGTCGCTAACACATCGCGAAAAGTTCGTACTTGGCGAAAGGCGGACTAATTCGATTAAAACTCGCGCCCCTAACAAAACTGTTGACACTTTTAATATGTCAGTGTGTGCCCTCCTTTCCAACAACAATTAATTCAGTGGTCACCATTATTCACACTGAGAAAAGTACGCGGTGAAGGGTTTAATCTCCGCGCCTTAAAAAATCACACGTTTCATCGCTCTATTCTCACGCAAAGCCGCGAATATAAAGTATATCGCTTCCATATCCTTGATCTGGCTCAACATTCTGCATTGCGATAATTTGCACGCAGCCGTGAGATTTGGATATACAGACGTTCGGTACAACCGCAAATGGGAAAAGCGTTAATTATAAAGCGGTGTGCATAATGTGCAGAGAGACGAACGCGGGAGGGATGAGAGTGCGCGAAGCGCATAGGACTGGTGTAAATAATGCTATAGTATTATTTACGCTAGCGGTGCGCCGCGACGTGCAGTGACGTAATTGTGCCGATCTAATTGCGATTCGCGCCGAAGCACGATGCGTGCCGCACACGTGTAACACGAAACTGGAATTCGTGCACTCGTTATCTGTCACTTTCTTACGACGTTGTCTAATTTCCTTTTATCGTTTATGCGACAGTCGTAATACCGAGGATAAGATCTGCGTCACGCTCGATCACGCACATGTTTCCCGGCGTGAACACACGACGTCGTTTGTAGCGATCGGCCGCAAAGTTATCGAAAAGATGGCTGCAGTAAAGTGCGACACACGTCGCGGACCAGCAACGAGCAAGTGCGTGAGTGCACCAACCGTGAAACATAATCGAGTTATCGCGTAAAATGTAGTCCCGACTGTCGCGACCAGGCCGTAATTCCCTTTTGGAATCCGCTGAGGACGCATAACGCCGTTTGGATGCGGCAAAAAAATGGATACACGCGAGATACATTTTCCCGTCCAGCGATTTCAACCGCTCTCCCACTTTTTCATCATTTAAACACGCGGCAATAGCGATACGCGGGGACATTGTTATCACGGTGCGGCATCATATGATGGAAGAAAATGTTGGAAGGTAACAAAACAGTCATTTGTACTACCGTGATATACTATCCCGGCGCTCGATGAAACGCTTATAAAATGTGTCGGAAAGTTAGTTGTTAATCCAACACGTCACGTACTTTGGTAACATAAAATATTTCCCGAAAACAGAGTTTGGAAACGGTATAATTTGGGTCACTTTAAAACATGATAGTATGAACGCGCGTAAAATGATGTCTATGTTTATCTGGAACAACGGCAACACGGCAATTGGCGTAAAGCAAT